AAATTAGCTGCGACTCTATGAAAAATTTCTGGGGAGAACACTGCATAGTAACCATGGGTTATAAATTGTGTCACAAAAAATATTAATTATTAAAAACAATGTTAAATCAGCACTTTCTAAGCCTTTAATTATTGTTTTTATTTCAGGATGTGCTATCTCACAAAGTTGATAAAAAGTGTGTTAACCAGCAAACACACCAAATGAGTGAAAACCATACACACCTAATTTGGGCTAGCAAGGTGTTAATTTACGCAACAAGGGGGTCCCTTTTATGTTGAAATACTTTCTTACGGAGCTGCATATTTATCTCAAAATTGAATAAAAAATGTGTGAAAATGGTATGGTTAAATAGGTATACATAATTATGCTATGATTGTGACAGGTGTGTTAATTTAACATGTATCACATGGTTGATAAAAGGAGGTAGGAAAAACATGTCAATTTCTACAGACTTGATAATTTAAGGGTCGATAACGAACGTTATTTTTGATTTATATGCACTTTTTTTGAGTTGGTCTTATTAATAGAGCGAATACAGTATATGTTCTCTGATCAACTGTTAAACTTCAAAAACTCAAAATATTTGTAAAACAATTAGAGTGCAAAGGCTTAAAATAAGAAAAAAATGACTTCATTTGGGCAAGCTTACATTAGTTTCACTATGTTTATCAAATTCTGTTGTCTTTTTTACAGGCAGCCGGGCTGTTCCAGATTCCAACTGAGCTGATATTGAATGGCGATTCTAAAATAAACCAGTTGGATAGTAGAGGCGACTTATTACTGGTATCCACCTTAACAAAATGCTATGTTTGCAACACATCCAGGTAATAAGGAGGGTCTGACCAATCTGTATTATGTAACAGATTTGTTTGTTCATGTGTACATGAATGATGATTTTGTAGACATTCCAAGAGTCTAAGGTCTGGGAGACTCTTGCTATGAATGCCTAGAATCAACTAGCCATGCAAATTTATTCAATCAATACATGCTATTGGTTGGTAAAATTTGGGAAAGAGTTCCTTAAAGCGAACCTAAATGCGGCCTTAATTTATAGTTGTGTATATTCTAAACTGTATTCGAAATAATATTGCAGTGGTTTAATTTTGTTTTAATTATAACTGTAGCTTGGATAGGCATTTGAAGTGCTTGCAATTAAACACCATGGAGGCCATTCATGGAGGGGAATAAATAACAAACGAACATATTTAACATCCGGGTACTTTTCAAAGCTGTGACGTTTTAGTATCTGATCGCATTCGTATACGCCATTGTACATAGCCGTTCATGCTGCCAAGCATTGTGTACTACTAGTATAAACTCAACTTTTATATGCACAATGTGCTTTTTAAAACTTGGGTTAGAGCCTTATGCGTTTGAACCACAGTATTCTGAGAGTGAAAGCCTAATTGCGTTAAAGTACCGTACTTTCCCGATCGTAAGCCCCTCCCGAGTATGAAGCCCATCCCTATGTTTTTACTTGGTATTTATCGAGTTGAGGGCATTCACGATTATAAGCCCAGAGTGTTTTTCCTGGGCGTCGACGATATTCTTTAA